GTGGGGGGGGGAATATCTGTGGTATAAAAAAAAAAAAAAAAAGAAAGAAAGGGGGGGGGGGGGTCTCCTTTTAATGGAATCAGCTGGTTAATAGAATCAAATCACCATTCCCCAAAGTGATTCCAATAAAAGGAATCCACTGTAGCACCTGTTAGGAATGCTCTTATTTTTTTCCCCCTTATGTAGTAAAAATCTGGATTCATCTAGGAATATTTGCTTTTCTGCCTTGAAGTACATTTCTTGCTGCCTAGCCCATTTGTAGACGAACTAAAATAAGAACTCTTAAAACATGGGTGAAAAGTCCCTTTCCCTAACAGGCTGGACCCCTACTAGAGGCTTTTTAAAACTTTAGTACTTAGAAATGTTAGTATTAATTTGCTTTCAAATATCAATAAGATTGTTGTGCATTTAAATAACTGTGCACTTTATAAATATTTAATCAGCTGCTTGATATACTGTCTGGTCATTTGTATCTTTCCTCTGTTTCATTATTACATTTGTTATCAAAATGTATCTACATTTATGTTTACAAGTAAATTTTGGATTGTACATTTGAATTTGAAATTTTGAATGGGAATTTGAAATTTTGAAAATGTAACATTGTGAATTTTGGTAAAACTAGCTCCTCGGCCATTTCTTGGTCTCAGACTATATCTAAAAGTCAACAAGTGCTTAACTTCTCAAACTACTATAGCACTGTCAAAGTTGTCTGGAAGCTTTTTAGGGTATTTTCCTGACTTCTGATTGCTCTTGATTTTTTTTTCCCAAAGGTTTACTTCATTTGAAGCACTTGATTCCAGTGGCTTCTTCTGGGCACATTTCTTTGTCTTAAGTCTCAGTAAAATCTACAAAACTAAGCCCAGTTTCAAGTTACTAGCTTCAAATGTTTTTTTGACGTGTGTTCTTTATGGAGATCCATATATTTTTTCCACAATAAAATGATCAAGTAGATTCAGATTTTGAAGGTCACCACACACGAGAGGCTGGGTGATGACCACAAACATGGCAAGGTGTCTGCCACACCCAGAGCAGCAGCGACCTCCAGTTGCCACTACTGACACAATTTGTGCAGATGAAAAAACTGGCAGCTGTTTTGTTCTTTTCTTGTGCCTTCACCTCTGTCACCACAAGTCAGGGGCAGCTGCCATGGTTGCCCCACCTTAGTTACACCACTGCTACCCACATTGACAAAAACCAAACGTTTACCCATGCAGATAACATCTTATTCTTAAAGGGAGGGGTAATAGGAGTGGCTTGAAATGGAAATTTAAACTCGGACTCAGTTTTTATTATGTTTAGGCAATTCCAGTATTCTTGCAAGTAAGGTATTGATAAAAGTAAAGAGAGCCAGATGTGAGAGAGTAGGGGTGCAGCAACAGAGATTTTTTGGGGGCTGATACTGATAGCTGATTTTTAAGGAGGCATATTGGCCAATACCAATCCAATTTCTGATACACAGCCTGGCAGCTTGAAGAGCAGTGTCCAACTGGTAAGTCTCTTGTGGTGGAAGGGGAGGGGGAAGGGAAGGGGTGTGGAGGGGGTACAGATTGAGGCCCCAGTGGTAAGGGAGGGAGGGAGTGGGGCTGGGGCAGGTGCTGTCCAGCGAGGGCAGGGAGCATCGCAGGATGAAGCCCCAGGGGGCGCGGGGAGTGGGGGCAGCTCCCACTGCTGCACACACCCTGGGAGACCATCACGCGGGGCAGGGTGGGATGCTGCTGCAGGCTCAGGCCAGGGCAGCACCAGGCTTTTCCCAGTGGGAGGGCTGGGCCAGGCTGTGCTCGGGGCAGCTGGCAGCGGCTCTGGGAGGGAGGCTGTGGGGCAGCTGCAGCCACCCCAAAATTTGCTATAGCCTCCCCAACCCCCCATCCCAGCACTGCCGCCCACCCCAAACACAGCCCAGCACAGTCCAGCCCCTCACTGGGAAGAGCCCAGTGCAGTCTTGGCCCCAACTTACAGCGGCAGCCCGCCCTGCCTGACACAAATCTGGGGCACATGCCCTCCTGGGGTGCGCACAGGGGCAGGAGCCACCCTCTCCTTTCCGCGCTCCCCAGACGAACCATGGCTCCATCCCCCTGCCCTGCCCTGTCTAGGCAGTGCCTGCCCCTGCCCCACTCTCTTCCTCACCGTGGGGGCCTCCATCTGCTCCCCCACCATGCCTCTTCCCTTCTTCCTCCCCTTCCACCACAACAGACTTACCAGCTGGACGCAGCTCTCAAGCTGCCGAGCTGCGCTCCTCACTGCCTATGTGCTGCACTGCGGCTGCGCACCTGTACGAGGCATGTATCAGCCACAGCAGGCAAAAAAAGCCAATTTCTGATACCATCAATTTTCTTTATATCGGTGCCGATCCAATATCAGACTGATGTATCGATGCACCTCTAGTAGAGAGAGCACTACATCTCTGCTTAGGATAGCACGGACTGGAATTATGTTATCTCCTACCTTTGCCATGCATAAGTCACAGATATCCAAACCCAGGAATTAATTCTCACTAGGAGCCATGCTATCTGGTCAAGGGCTAGAATATTTCAGCTGCGAGTTCTTTATTAACATGCTTGCCCTGTCTATGTGTCTCCCTTGCAGGGATTTACATCCTGATTGCTGTTGGTGCAGTGATGATGTTTGTGGGGTTCCTGGGATGCTATGGCGCTATTCAAGAGTCACAGTGCCTTCTGGGAACGGTAAGAGACAAACTTTGAACACCATGTGACACCAGGCAGATCTTCCCAAGGCTCAACCAAGTTAGAGTCATTGAAAGCTGGACTGAATGGTGCTCAGGGAAGTGCCATGTAGAGGAAGACTGCCATACTGATATGTGGATATAACTAGTGAAATCTCTCATTTTCTGTGAAGATGATGGGAATTTAACCCTTTGAGTACTGCCTCAGAGGGTATAGAACTCATTTTATTATCTGAGCACAAGTATATTCTCCCTGAATACCTCTTACCTGACCCCCTAGCCTTTTGGAACAGACATTCCCTGTGAGTTTTGGCAGCAGAGTCTTTATTACACTCCAGTTACCCTTGGAGCTTGTATTGGGCAGTTCTGCACTAGCAACCAGAAAGCTGAGGCTGCTGGTACATGCCAGCAAGCCACTGTTGTAATCCCTGGCCTAAAGAAAGGAGCAGGAGCCAGCAGTGGAATAGGAGGATGGAGGTAGCAGGCTTCATGGACATTCATTCCCCATCCATTTTAGAATGAGTTGTCTGACTGCATTTATTTCTCCCAATCAAAGTAGCCTCCAGAATGCTGGAAATTGGTCTCCACTTGATATATGACTATGGATAATGCAACTTGCTTAAGAGTGACCTAGTTGTGACCTAACTCAAGGCAGGAAAAGTAGCAGTAGACCTTCCAGCAGTATTGTAGCGCAGATGTTGGGTAAATGCTGGGAAATCCTTTATTCAAATACAACGGGTATTGTTGGCTTGAGCCAAGGACTCAGATTCTTGGCAGGTTTTATTCTTCACATTTGAACATGCTGCACAGGGTGCTCCAGGCCCACAAAGTGTTCTTGTCTCCACTCATCTTTCCCTCTGACCTTCCTCTTCCTGTCTGTCAGCTATGGAAACACAGTAAGGATTTAGTGTCTAAACCTTGCCTAAGTGTTTTAGATGCATGTGAAGCCATTACCACTTCTTTCTTTTATATTTACTTCCTTATGCATCTACCAAAGGGGAAGGTTCATAGTAGAGTCCTAGTGAAAAAAAAATTGGAGATCTCCTAAGAGATTGACATAAGCAAATTTTAATACTTGGAGAGGAAATTTATTTTGAATCACTTCCCAAAAAAAAAAAAATTAGGTGTCCAGCTTCCTGTATCTGCAAATAGACTATTCCCTAACATATTCAGCCCATTCTTTTGGCACTTCTGCAATCTAGATCTGCAATGTCATTAGAAAATGAAAAATAAGAGAGGAAAGCAGGAACTACCTCAAATTTCTTTGAACTTCCAAGTCTCAGTCTGCATGCCGTCCAGTGCTGTAATGGACTCTAGTTGGAGAATTTCCAATGCTTGAGTGTGTCTCTGGATTTCCTGAAGTACTCCACAGTGCACTTTGAGATGTATGGGGAACATTCTTTGTATTCTGGAACGAAACCAGTTCTACTTCGAGCCCGCCCCCCGGTGCTATCTCTTAATTTGTGCATGTCCTCAAAAAAGCACAGGGAAGGCCTCCATTTAGCAGGAACAGGGCAGTCCCAGTGGCTTAAAAATGAGTTCCGTGAATGCAGTAGGCTAGACTTCAGTCTCTTAGGCCAAAGGAGAGGTGTTTTATGACAATCTACAAGCAAGGAATTAAAAACTAAAGGGTAGTAGTTTTAGGGTAGACCAGTTTAAATAAGGATTCCCACCCTTATTAATTTGATTACTTCCCAATCAACCCTTACAAGAAGCCTATTTCAAATGTATTCCAGTGGTCTCTGCTTTCAGCTCCTTACCTCCATTAAAAAGGCAATATGGTGTGTGACTTACCACTTACACAGTTGATAGTGCATAATTCATAAGAGCACAGCACAGACATGAAAATATTGGACTAGAAGGGGCCTCGTGCATCAAGTGCAATTTTCTGTGTTCACAGGTATTTTCTAACTCAAGTAATCCCCAGAGCATCACTTCAAACCCATGCTTTCTGCTCTCCTCCTGCAAAGAGGAATGTCTAGGGACAGCTGGCTTGGGCACTTCATTATAGCTGAAATCCTGGGGCTCCTATACACATCCGGGGAGGTTGCTTTGACGCGCTGTAATTACAGCACATTGGTGCAGACTCAAATCAAGTCTGCTGGAGTGTGGTAATTACTATGCTTCAGCAGCTTTGTGCAAAGCGTTCTGAGTTACTGCGTTACCCCAGACCAAACAGAAGTTCACTGTTGGTTCCAGGAAGAGGGGAATCTAGCTGGGGCCTGGAAGCCTGCAGCCAGATTCCCGCAGCAATTGCCAGACTGTCTGTCTGTGCTCTCTTTTCAGAATGGGAGGGGGAAAGGCAGTGGAGAGAGCTCATTCTTGGGGCTCCCCAGCTGGTGCTGAAGGGTGGGGTAGGTGAATTGGAGCCCCTGCCCTGGGGAGGGGTTGGGGGGTGGCTGCAGTATACCTTCAACATCTAGGAGGTGCTGAAAAACCCCCAGACTGAACTCCCTCTGCTCCCTTTCCCTCCTCCCATCCTGAAAACAGGGAGCACAGACAAACAGCCTGGCCACTGCTTTGGGAACCTGGCTGCAGGCTTTCATCCGAGCAACAGGCTGGGAGCTGTCCAGACACAAGTTAGAGAAGACAAAAGATGCTACATTTTGTAACATCTTTATCTGATCCTTCATACCAGGGGTCAGATTTTTACCCAGTCACCCATTTTTTAAGCTGTTTGCAGCCATGCACTTGTGTTTGGTCACAGCTATAAACTGCTTTCTGTGGCCAGATCAGGGAAAAAATTGTCCCTCCTGTCTGCACCCTAATAATAGCATGACTTTTCACTTTTTACTGTTAAACTTCAATCCATTTCTTATATTACATTCCACAACATTGTATCAGTCCTCCTGTATAATAATTCAGTCCTCTTCTGCAAAGCAGTTTGCACCATTGTTAGTGTCATCTGCAAATTTTTTGAAGGCACTTTTAACTCCAAGGTTGCTGATTAAAAAGGTTAAACAGGACAGGCTCTAAAGAGCAAACCTTGAAGAGCATCACTTGATGTAGCGGGCAAATACATGTTTACTTGCATACCACTTACACTTTTTCCACAAAAATTAGCCCTCCAAAATTGAGGGGTGTGTCTTAAGCGGGGGAGGGGAGAGTTATTCCTGCTTAGGGACACTGTAATGGATGCCATCACAGCCACAGTTTTTAACTCTTCACAGCTGCTGCCAAATTGACAGTAGCTTTTGATTGAGCAGTGAAGCTGAAGAATGTACTCTGTTCCTGCAGTCAGCATTCAGCCACGATTCTGGGGAAAATAAATTTTCATTCTGCCGTAGCAAAATGAGATTTGTGCTTTTTATTTCAGTTGTGGGGAGGCACATGTGGTATGCAAGAAATACAGTAACTTTCCTTTCAAAATAATCTGTTGTAGTCTCCCTTCGAGCCGACTGATTCCTTATCCACCTCATAATTACAGCATCAATCCCTGTCCTTTTCAGTTTGGCCAGTAATTTCCCATGAGGCACAGCATCAAAAGCTTTGCTTAGATCTAGATAAATTATGTCCACTGCATTGCCCTTATTCAAGAAATCCATTATCTTGTCATAGAAGGATATTAAACT